TCAATGTGCGCGTGCACGAACGCGCGCTAATGACGCCATAAATTATGCGCAGTAAGGATGCGCAATGCAAGGAATGACCTTAAGCAAATTAAGCTAGACAAGATAAAAATTGGGAAGTACCGACGAGCATCCATAAGGATGAAATAAACCCAACGCGCTCGCAGCAGGAACAACGGAGAAAAATTCCGGCCCTATGGACAGCACTTCCCGGCCTGCCGGGCTCGGCCAGTAAATGAAACGAAGAGCCTATGGGCCTAGAAGCCCTGAACCAAAAAATAGCTTAATATTCATAGCTCGCGTAGTCTCGACAAGATTCTCAGGAACAGCCTCAAAGGACCGAACCTTAGACCCAGGATCCTTCCAATCGACGTGTCGGTCAATTAGCGCAGAGTCAAGGGAACGGCCGGAAACCCCGATCGTTGGCCCCACCAATTCTAATGCTATGGGTGCCATACATACGACCATCCGAAACAAACGGAGAAATATAAGTCTATATAAAGCTACTGAAAGCATTGGAGTAACTAAATCCTAAAGACTTATGGGAGCTATCTGAGGATTTAGAGTTAACTATCCTGCGAACGACGGGTTAACAGGAGTTCTTGGTATCAGGCAACAAAGAAAATAACCTCTCAGTAATCCCCACTGGCCATGTAGGTTTGCCAGATCTTGCCAAACCCAGCTAGTTAAGATTTAAAATTTCACTAACACGAAAAACACCAGCATATCCAACCAAAAGGATAAACAAAAAACGAATGTCCGCTAAAGGAAACGGAAATAGTGTTCAAACTTAAAGTAATATCGGCAATCACATCATGAGACAATGGCTGCTTGGGCTGCACGGACCTCGCCAGCTTCATCCGCGCGCCCTCCACGACGCCCTTCACCAGCGGTTGTCCTGTTGGAGGCTCCATCCCAACTAAACGATGACCCCCGCGGATACTATAGGAAGCAGACTCAATAACGGAAACAGAATGGCCCTAGCGGACTGCACGGTCTACAAGCTCCGTCAAATAAAGAGCAACTTGCAGTGGAATTGCCGGAAGCACGGGAACACCAAGCTTAGAACAAGCCCAAGCCTTCCATCTTTGCCAATCGCAACAGTACTTCTGGACTGCGTTAGCAGCGCTGGATTCCAACAAAAGCTGAAGGAATGGGTTATCGAAACTCGCCGCGAACTCACCGACCTGTAAAAGATTTAACCAGAGAATAAGAAAATCAAAAC